GGATTATAATCACTGACCTCCCTTCTCCCTTCAGTGACAGAATACTCATATATCTTCCATGGGTGTTAAATTTCCTAGTGCAGAAATGTTCTGTCAATTGCTCCTTGTACTTCCATCTCTTCACTAGATTATTTTGATCTGTCGACGCTTCTTTAAGTGTAAAGCATATCCATTCCATTGCCTTTCTACCCATGGATGATCTTCTCATCATGTTGCGGCTTCTCTCCACCCATTCAAACCAAATGTCTTTGTTGGAGTTCCATCTGGTGATGTCAAAAGATTTGAATCCTGCGTTGAAATATATCCTGTTGTCTCTCATATTGTACAAAACAGCTGTTCAGGTTCTGGAATTTTAGGGGTTGTTTAGAAGTTATCACAGTGAGCTTTAAAGCTTGTCAACAGAATGAGAGCTAACAGTACAAGGAGCTCTCAGAAAGCTTGACAAGTAGAATAACAGAATGACTATTACTTATATGGATCCTTGATTTCCATCAAGTTATATTCTTAGCTAAGTCTGCAAGAATTCGAGGAGATATTAGATATTTTAGGAAGATTTTTTAGCTGTATGATTTAGGTCTACCTCCCTCTCTAACATCTTTATCGCACCTCGGGGCCTGTTCATTTACAAGTAAGCAAGGAAATAGAATCCTAGTGAGTCATTTTATTCTCAAAGATGGTTAAAAATCCGAACGGGCTTCCAAATAGATTGCTTAAACAAATCTTTGGTGTAAGGCCGCTACTTCTACACCTTCTAATCGACCTGAACAATATATACGACTTCCACCCTTCACTATTTTACTAAAAATGGAACAAAATGATCTAGTTTTGTTCCTTGGTCGAAAAACGATGTCTGAACAATCAGAGAAGCACTTTGATAAACAGATCTGATCTTGACTAATCCCATTAATGTATTAGTGTATCTTTTTATATGTTAAAGATTGCATTTTTTCACTTCATAGGACATGACCAAACAATTTTAGACGATCTTCTCTCATTTCATTCCTTTTGTACTACTTGCACATTCTGTTAGATATAAAAATTTCTAATCTTGTGTGTGTATATTCCACATCCATCCTAATATCAATATTTCTATAAGTCCCCAAGGGAATGGCCTCGTGGGTGAGGCATCGAAGTTACAACCTAAAGAACATAGATTCGAAGTCCAACTACAACACTTGGTTTGCGCCCGCTTACTCCATCCATAATGGAAAAGATTAACTTGGTAACATGTCCTTGGAGGCTGGACATGTCCTTGGAGGCTGGACCAATTTAAGTGTAAAGCATATCCATTCCATTGCCTTTCTACCAATGGATGATCTTCTCATCATGTTGCGGCTTCTCTCCACCCATTCAAACCAAATGTCTTTGTTGGAGTTCCATCTGGTGATGTCAAAAGATTTGAATCCTGCGTTGAAATATATCCTGTTGTCTCCCATATTGTACAAAACAGCTGTTCAGGTTCTGGAATTTTAGGGGTTGTTTAGAAGTTATCATAGTGAGCTTTAAAGCTTGATATAAAAATATACAAAACAGTTGTCTCTCATACTTGCACATTCTGTTAGATATAAAAATTTCTAATCTTGTGTGTGTATATTCCACATCCATCCTAATATCAATATTTCTATAAGTCCCCAAGGGAATGGCCTCGTGGGTGAGGCATCGAAGTTACAACCTAAAGAACATAGATTCGAAGTCCAACTACAACACTTGGTTTGCGCCCGCTTACTCCATCCATAATGGAAAAGATTAACTTGGTAACATGTCCTTGGAGGCTGGACAGACTGCTTGGTAAATTGGTCAAATTGGCGGAGGTGTATGTAAGCTAGTCCCAACAATTGCACTTATCTTTCCAATAAGCTGGTCCTTAGCAACCCAACATTCATTCCCATATAATATTGCTGATATCATGAACATTGTATAAGACTTTCCTTTCACTTGGATATTTACTTTCCTATCGCACAAACACTACTGTCGCAGTCCTCCATTTCATCCATCCTATTTTAATTTATATGCACATGTTAAACCATTGTACCATTCTCCAAGAACAATGAGCCTAGATATCTGAACTGTCTGCGGTTAGGCATCACAATCACATCTAATATTACAATCAACAATATTGCATAATAAACTATTATCATGTGGAATAACAAAATGCCCTGGAAAAGGATCTAAACACTGCTTTCTCCCTGGTCCCCCGCAGAAGTTGCATCCACAAGCATAAATATGGATCCCGTTACACAAAAACCTTAAAATTATTCCACAAAGTCATAACTAATAAGCTTAAATCTTAAGGCACTATCCGGTAAATCTAAGGACCTGCTTGAAAAATATATTGGATTAAGTAACATTCAACATAACTTGATCAATCTAAAGAAGTAAGCAGTAATATTTCGTTCAAAACAGCATGCAGATCCAGATCCCTAACTAATTTATTCACTCTACTTCCACCATTCGGGTTACCTTTTTCAATACTTTTAAGATGATTTAGTGGCTAGTATCAAACTATCTAGTCCATCAACATGACCTAAATGAGTAAATTCTTCAGTAAATTTATCGTAAATTAGGAAAGATGATTTGAACCAATTAGCACCAAAAAACAGTTCGTACCTATTCTGCCTCATGCGTTGAGGCTGTCTAATTGTTGAAGCTGCACATGTCTCTTGAGAAGTAATGACTTCTCCACCTTCCACAGCAGAAGCAAAAGATGGTGCTGCAGACAAGAAGGAAATATAAGCCTGGATTATAATCAGAAAATAGTGAAGCCAAAAAGACTAACATCAGAGCTTAAAATAAATACCTGCTGTAGAGCAATACTCTATCTCACTTGGTCCAGCAATACTACTGGAAGAACTAAGCTCTCTTCGTTTCTGTGTTTTCTCTTCTTCATCCTGCATCTCCTGCTGTCTCATCCTTATTTTGGCTTCTATAACCCGTTGTTCCTCCTAAAATAATGACATGAGAGGGATAGAAAAGGATAAAAATAGCCTAAGTTCAGTAAGAGACTCCTTTATCAATATGTAATAATATCCATGCAATCACCCAAAGAAATACAACAGTAGATAGGATCTTACAATCTGCTCTATCCCCTTTTCTTCCTTCGTCTTAACCCCACGATATTCCACCGCGTAATTTGATGTTTTACAAAATGGGCATCTTATAACGTTAAGGAGGTCAGTGTAGAATGAGAATCTGGAAGGAGGGAGAGGAGATATGCAAAATGCATTTAGCAATAAGCAACCGGTAATCTTAGAAATCAAGGATACTGTGTTGGACGGGTTGAATTGGGGGTCTTCATCTGCAAAAAACACTCTGTTGCAAGGAAACAAGTCACAAATCCACTTCCAAAAATGGTACATATTATTACATCAAAAGTAGAGCCATAATAAGCACAGGCAATTACAAACACAAGGACAATAAATACCTGTACAAATGCCTTTCATGCAACATCTTGAACGGTTTAAACTAGGATAATACTGCAAAGTTCAAAATGAACAAAGGTATTAATCATAGCAAATATCGCTAGACATAAATTCCATGCTAGTCCAACATAACTGAGGAGTCACAATAAAAAACAACAAAAACTACTACACTTTTTATTTATCTTTTTTACTTGAACTTCATTTTATTTTGGTAATTATGATGATATGAGTTGAGCTAAATGAAAGGAATGAGGATTTATATCGCCGACCCCAACTTGTTTGGGACTGAGGCGTAGTTGTTGTTATTGGTGATGTTGGGGCCAGCTTGAGCACCTCGACTATTCTACCAAGTACCTACTCCTACTAGCACAGGTTCCGGGTAACTCTGCCCATCAAGGCTTAGGCAGATAGGAAGAAAATGCCTAGTATTTATGCCTAGTATTTTGAACCTGAGACCTCATGGCTCTTCATTTACCACTAGGCCGTGCAACTACAAGAACTAAAACTGCATCCCAATCCTAAACAAGTTGAGGACCACTACATAAATCGCGTTCTAGACAAACATATGCCAACAAATTTTCAAGGTGAATAATGGAAAGAAAAGAAAAACAAACCAAGAAGCAAATGGGGCATTCCTCGAGGTCAGAGTTGGGACAATCATCATCACCAGGATAGCAAGGTGCGAGCTTGGAATCAAGAATGAGTTTACGAAGCTTCTTAATATCCACATCCTTAAGTTGGTACAACCCCTGAGGCCTAGTGTACTTCTCATCCACCACTTGCCTCCTCCTTCCCAACTTATTACCCATTCCAAAATATTCACAATAATAACCCACAAAAACAACACAAACCAATAATTTCTAGCCCTAATTTTCACATCTCAAAATACAAAACTTCCAATACATAAATACCGAAATATGAACAAAAGATATTCACCCATCCTGCAAATTACCAGCAAAAAAAAACAAAACATTAAGACTCAAATACCTAATCCAATTTTTCACAAAAAAAAAAAAAAAAAAAAAAAAAAAAAAAAAAAAAAAAACAAGCAAACAAGAGGTACCACACACCTGAAAATGAAGGCAATAGGAGAGAGAGAAAGAGAGGGGGAACAAGATCAGAAGTTTCTTCTCTGATACAAAATTTGTAGTGTGTGTTTCGATATGTGATTTACACGTATTTTTACAGTTTTTTTATAAAAAATAAAGTAGTACTTTCTCTAAGAAATGTCTGATTTTTTTTGTTGTTATATAAATAGAGGGATTTGTTTTGTATATTAGGGGATGGCTTGCGAATAGAAGAGAATGAGATAAGCAAATCGCAAGCAAAGCACCGTATGAGAAAGAGTAGACGAGCCGGAAAGAATCGCAATCACCCCACCCCACCCCCGTCCCTCCCTTTTGGGGGTTAAAGCGGTGGGGTAGGGTAAGGTGATGATAATTTTGCCAAATTATGTAATTTTTTATGTTGCACAAGTTAAATTATTAATTGGTACTCCAAAGAATGAAGCAATCCATTATTAATTTCTCTGATTGGTTGGTCCGCCATTGATTAATCTTATATGCGACATGAACCTTCATTTTTTTTCTTTTTAAATAAGAAACATTATACAAATTAAATCGAGCTTTTTGGATAGATATACTTGTTATTAATCTCTCTTTGTCAAGGACCGATGCACCTTACTGCATTGTATCCAATATTTTTTTAATTATACTCACATATATAGTATCAAAAAAATTTAAATTTTATATTAAGTTCTCACGCAAATATATTCATACAATAATATTTAAATTTTACTAATTTAAAATTTAGATCCACCTTTGATTTTTGTTACTCAATTGTGGAAGCTTCGACAATTGCAAATTAACTAAAATATTTGTGTTTGGCAACACATTTGTGGAAGCTTCAAAATGTTCATTACAATTATTTATCTTGATTTTCTAATTTAAGAAGTATCGCTCATTTTTAATGGAAAATTAATTTATTTTTTAAAGAAAATAACCATCAATTACACATCAAAACACAATTAGAAATTACAAGAATCATAATGTTTTCCTAAGTAATTAAGTTGACATTTCGGATTAAAACTCTCATCTTCCATTGAATATTCACATATTGATAATGGTCCTGGTCAGAGGAAGATATTAAACGTGAAAGCAAACGAAAAATGAAGAACGTAACACACGTTTGATATAATTCGTAACCCCATTTTAATATTCCTTATTACAAAAGCACCTTAATTTAGTGGTCAGAAATTTTGGAATTACTAGCAAATCATGTCGTATTAGCTGGAATAAAGTGGCCCAATAAAACAAGAACATATTTTCAAGCAAGGAATTAAAATCCAGAGTTCTTGCGCATATGGGGGCCATAAAACGGTTGTTTTTTTGTTTTTTCGGGGTCAACATATTGTAGCATTAATTTGGACCACACTATCATAAATTTAGACGCAAATTGGTTGACCAAGAATCTTGATTTTTTGACTCCTATTATGCTCTGATTTATTAAAACGAGATGGTTTATACAACATCATTAATTAACTTCAAAAACAAAAGAACAAATGGGATGCTTCTTTTGTCCGAATATATATANATTTTGTAGATTAATTTAAACTGACGGTTTAATAAAATGATACATTATTAGGTGCAAATACTTTGCTAATTATCAACACTTAATATTTGGCCTTCGTTTGTCATGTTGTTGATTGGGTCGCCTAGTTGATTAGAAAGGATTAAGATTAGCTTAATTTGTGTTTTGTATGTGTAAAAAAAAATTAGCTGCTTCTAAGGACGTATTAGTTTTTTTATTCAATGAGCTCATTAATTAGGGACTACACACAAAGTACAAAGTAATGGCTTATTTGTTCCAAAGTTGTTCAACTACGTGGTTTGATTAAGGATCTGCCTAGGTATGGTACTAGGATGTTGAGGAACTGTAGTTGCTAAAGGTTCACCAAATGTGTCTTGTCTGTATTATTTTGGTACTACTTTAAATTAGAGCCTGTTTGGCCAAGCTTCTCAAGACAAAAAAAGTATATTTTTTTTTCAAAAGCACTTTTTTTTCTAATTTGAGGTGTTTGACCAAGCTTATTTGGGAAAAAAAATAATTTTGGGAAGAAGCAGAAACAGTTTCAGAGAAGCAGAAAAAAGTAGTTTCTTTCCAAAAGCAGAAGCAGAAGCAGTTTTGACTTTTCTTCCTACCTAAAATACCCTTAACAAAATATAGTATATACCAAAATAACCCTTAAACCTAATACTTAGGATATTAATTTATAAATATTTCTTCTTATTTTTAGGAAACTTTCTAATATATAGTGTCTTTAGGGGTGAATGCTTTTATATTTGTTGAAGGAATTTTAATATATTTAACTTATATTAAAAGAATTAAGTACTTTTTAATTTTATTTTCATATTTTACTTAAATAAAATGAATTATTTTTACTTATTGCATGTAATAACAAAATTTTGATATTATTTATTTACTTATATTAATTATTAAGTAAATCTATTCATGTCCTTATTCGTAATTTGACACTTAAAAGCACTTTCTAAAAAGCTTGGCCAAACACAAATTATTTCTCAAAAGTGTTTTTCAGACTGATTAGCCAAACACAAACTGATTATCTCCAAAAATACTTTTTCAAAAGCACTTCTCAAAATAAGCTGATTTTTCCGACTTGGCCAAACAGGCTATTAGTCATAACAACTGTACAAGATATATTGCAACTGTATTATTGTACAAATAATATATTTATGGGGTGACAAGTTTAGGCATTTAAATAATTATTCAAGAGTCACATGATTGTATAAATAATTATCCAGTAATTTTTGCTCAAATAGTGTATTTACCTATTTGGTATTTTGAATTTATGAAATATATATAAAAATTTAATCTAGAACCAATCACTAACACTTAAAGTTATGGGTGTTCAAACTGAATCGGAAAACCGCACCAAACCGATTTAAAAACCCAACTAGGTTTGGTTTGACTTGGTTTGGTATTGAGTAAAAGAATCCGAACCAAACCGACATATAAATATATAAAATTTATTTATATTTTTAAGACTTTATAGTGAATTTTTTTTAGAAAATGTAGAAATATTTGGAATCCTCTCATGTATTAACCTTGAAAGCGTAAATTAACGAAAAATTATTGTTAGACAAGTGAGAAAATAACTATCATGTGTTACTAAAAAAATTCTCCCATTAGAATATTTAATAGATCATATGTTTGTCATTTTTTTTTCATATTTACTAAACATATATTCACTTATCAAAGTTTTATCTATAATTTTAACAAAGTAAGATTGGAATAATATTTATGTAACAAAAAAGCCCAAAAATCCGACAAAACCAAATCAATCCAAACTGATATAATTGGTTTGATTTGATTTTGATAAAAACCGAACCAATCCGGTCCATATACACCCCTGCTTGAAGTCATAGTTTCAAAATCCTGAATCCATAAGTTGACATCCTTACTCTGCCTTGCGTGAGGCACGAAAATTTGGTACACCATATGAAGCGGCATGTTGAGAATCCAGCACGATGTAACTTATTCCAAGCTATTTATTCAGAACAAAAGTTCTTTAAAAAAAAAGGAACAAGCGGGGATTGGAGGAAAGCTAGTAAGATAACTAAGTTATAGCAAAAGAAAATATGCTAGGTGATGGTTAAAGTCACTAGATTTCCCGGCGCGAACGAATTTAAAAGTGGCCACTAAACGCTGAGCGGAAAAATAAAAGGTTACATATTCCATTGACTTATACACAAACTAATCTTTTTTTTTTGTCATACACAAACTAATCAATTTCTCTCTTGAATGTATCTCCATTTTTGTCCGATCTAATTAACTTATGATATAGTTTTATCCATTTATTCTCCAAATTTACAATTACAAGAATCTCATTTTCAAAGTATAATATAGAAATATCAATATTCTTAACATGGTTACAACTTACAACAAATTCCGGTAGTTTAGAGGCAAAATGACATTTTATTTTCACTCAGTAACTCATCAAGCTACTTATAAGCGTATATGACCAAGACAAGATCTTTGCATTCTGTGAGAGGGTCTATTGAATATTCAAATTCACGTGTGCTACTCATTAAATTGGGCAAAATATAAAATTGGTCGGTCGGTCGAAATTAATTGCATTCACTAGCAAAAACTTATACAAAATATATATATTTTTTGTATATACTACATATATATGCAAAAATATACATTTTGTCAGCTATTATTTTTTAAAACGGCTAAAAATATACATTTCTCATATAATTTCATCAAACAACAAAAAAGTCAACTGAGCCCAAGAGCTTACAATTTTCTGGGCCTGAACAAATTGAAAACATTGATGGGTAAATAATATTATATAGTCGCTCTCAAAATAATAGCCAAAAAATATTTTTTAATATATACAACAACAACAACCCAGTGAAATTCCGCTAGTGGGGTCTAGAGAGGATAGTATGTACGCAGACCTTACCCCTACCCGAAGGGGTAGAGAGGCTGTTTCCGAAAAACCCTCGGCTCAAGAAGACAAATAGACAAAAGGAGACAATATAAGTATTATCACAGAAATCATAAGAAAACATAAAAAATAAAAGGAACAACATAAATATCCAGAAGAAAGCTGCAAAACAAAAGCGATAACTAGTAAATAGGTCCGACACGAAAAAAGAAATAGAAAGGCATGGCATTGCCACCCGTTACCTAGACAAAACCCTACAAGATTACTCTAGCAACGGAACGAACTAATGCAAGACTCAACTACTTCCTAACCTACAATCCTAATACTCGACCTCCACATCTTCCTATCAAGTGTCATGTCCTCGAAAATCTGAAGCCTCACCGTGTCCTGCCTGATCACATCTCCCCAATACTTCTTAGGTTGCCCTCTACCTCTTCTCATGCCCTCCACAACTAGCCGCTCACACCTCATTACCGGAGCATATGGGCTTCTCCTCTGTATATGACCGAACCATCTGAGCCTCGCTTCCCGCATCTTGTCATCGATGGGAGCCACGCGCACCTTCTCCCGAATATCATCATTCCTAATCTTGTCCATCTTAGTGTTCCCGCACATCCACGTCAACATCCTCATTTCAGTTACTTTCATCTTCTGGATATGTGAGTTCTTAACAGGCCAACACTCAACCTCGTACATCATGGTCGGTCTAACTACCGCTTTATAAAGCTTACCTTTGAGTATCGGTGGCACTCGCTTGTCACACAGGACTCCAGATGCTAATCTCAACTTCATCCATCCTACCCCAATACGGTGTATGACATCCTCGTCGATCTTCCCCTCCCCCCTGGATAACCTACCCAAGGTACTTGAAGTTACA